AAATATCTAAAATGTATTATTATTATTTTTTTTTTTTAAATTTAAAAACAGGGGAAGAGGAGTCGTGATTTATTTACGTAAGCATGACAAGGAAGTAATCTGCCTTTTGCAGACAAGGGGGATGTCGAAAAGGGCCAAAAACACGATTGCGTAATATTTAAACTAAGGATGCAATGAATATTCGGCCACTATTCGGTATTCGGCCCTTTCCGAATATTCGGTTGGCCGAATTCGACAAAGTATTTTTCAACTGATTTTTTTAAAATTTTATTTCCAATAGATTTAATATAGAATAATCTGAAATTATTTTTTCTTTTAGATATAAATTTAATATGTGGTTAGTTCTATCGATATAAATTTCATAAAGGGAAAGCAATCAAATTACCAGGTTTTTATCTTTTTGCAAAAGATGAACAATTCAGTCATTACCCGACTAATATATGTAGAATTCCAAAGATGATTGTATTCTGAAAAAACGAAAGAGCTGTTATTATAACTATTTATTATCTATCATGTTTTATTAAAGAATGAAAGAACCCTGATTACCCAAATTTATTAATAGTTATAATTTAAACGCACGACAACATAATATTGGCAATAATATTTGGTTGGTAGGACGTTTGACTCGTGTTCGTGAAAACGGGAGTTTGAATTTACCCGGCCGAAGAATCCCCGAATGGTGACTGGTGCACGTTAGAATTTGTCGGTTCACAAAGTCCTCCAAATTCCCATAGCAAATGAATACCTCTGAGGAAGCCTCGATGGCACGGGGGGTAGAACGTTCGCCTTCCGATGAGGAGAACCGGGTTCGAATCCCAGCGATGGCGGTCGATACGAATCCGACCACAGTGCTGATGTGAAATATCTTCAGTGGTAGACGGATCATGGGTTAGAGTTCCTTTGCTGTCAGGCTAACCGTGGGAGGTTCGCTTCATCTTCATGTAAAGCAAATGCCGGTTAGTTCCATCAAAAAGTCCTCCACGCACGGCAAATTTCTCCTTATACCTGATCCAGGAATTCCCTTGTCTTCTGGATTGGGCTCAAAATTACAGAGCTACGGAGTTGAACATTGCTAGTCGTAAACACGAAAAATTTAATTGGCTGTTCAACGATGGTTATAAAATAAAAATAAAATACCTCTGTGGGTACTGAATTGGAGAAAAATCGTTTTCAGGTTCAGGTCAAAATTGCCATCTGCTGATGGATGTATGAATGGGTCCTTCCGGTGAATAAATCGTATTCTTGACCATAGGTTGAACCACTGAAAAACAAGAAGCGTACCTCTTTCCCATAATAGTTGTTAATAAAGAGAGTGCAATGGTCTATAAAATGTTTGTAATCCAAATTCTAAATTTACCGCTTTTTTTTATATTCTTGATCGAATGCTTAAGATATAATTTCTCATACGAATCAGAATGGCGGATTTACTTTAAAAAAAAATTGATAATTAGCGCTTTGACGCCGAATTTTTTAAAAAGTATTTTTCATTATTTTCTATTAAATTAGCTATAAATAACCGAAAAGTATTACATTTAACATTTTATTAATTTATAATTATGAAGGAAATGCAGGTGCATTTTTCTCCGTCAAAGGTAAATTCTTCCAAACAAGACTCACTTAAAAATAAGAATTTTTCAAATTTGCACTTATTTACAAGCATTTAGATCTTAGAGAAACAGTTATCCATCATTGAAATTTCTTCAATTTGCAAAATTAATTATTGATAAATTTTTAAATATGAATGAAGTTTTTTTTTGGATTTTATAATTTATAATTCCTATAATTTAATAGATTTCTTTTAGTAACTATTAGACTGCTTTCATAATTAAAAATGCCAAATTATATAATTTCAGCAACTGTTAGACTGTTTCTCATAATTAAAAAATACCAAAATATATTTTTGCTTGTAATTAGAGATTCAGAAAAAAATATATAAAATGGACATCCACTAAAATCATGAAAACGGAAAAATAAACGCGATGTAAATAAAAAGTACAGTACTGTTTGAGATTCTTGTTCCCTGTAAATAACAGAACGGAAAAAAAGGATCATGGAGTTCCATTTTCCTAACTGTCAAATTTAGTACGTAAATTAAATATGAAAACGCTTGGAAATGAAAATAATTTCAAAACTAAAATTTTTTTTTCCATATATTTTAAAATAATTCTTGAACAGTAAAAATAAATTTTGAATGAGAACAGAAATTCGTAATTAAAAAAGGAAATTTTATTTGTTGTCAGACGCAATGGAGAAAACATAAAAATTTTAGTTTTACCTTTTCTCAACATTAAGCAGTAAACGCAAGGTGGTTAAGTGTTTCTGTTTTAATTCAATAGATGGCACTTACCTAGAAACCTCATATTATTCAGTCAAATTAATAAAAAAAACAAAAACAACCTAGATTGAAACTTTAAATGCTGCCATCTATACAGTATTAAACAAAACAAATCTATGAATTAAAGTAGCTTCTTTTTATTCTTTTTCCTCAACGGAACTGCTCTAAATAAAATACAATAAAAAAATCAGCCAGTACCAAGGATTAGAAATACTTTACTGGTATATAATTAACAACTATATAATTAAATAAAAACCATGTTTTAAGGTGCGGTTATCTTAAACTTAGCTACTTTTGCTAAAGGAAATCTAATGGTTCATAGTATTTATTTATAAGTATAGCAATCTATCAGTAAAAATATTAAATAGAAAAAAATTTATAATTCAACTATAAATATTATTATTAATCCATTTTTGTAATGTTCAAAAAAGTTATTAGCTATGCACTCGGCTAATTATCAATTAGTGCGTGAGTAACTCAACTCGTGCATGTTTTTTTCATTATTATACGTTAGAGCCAATTATACATGCCCATATAATTTGAAATTAAATTCACAAAACATAAAATTGAAAGGCCAAAAACAAATTTACCATGCTTCAAATATATATTGTAAAAAAAAATAAAAAAAAATATTCAGCATTTTTGCGAGAGAAGTTATTAACTTTAGTTACTGCAAAATTTAATCTAGTGAAATTTTGGGCTTGTTTTGAAAGTTTATCTTTTGAGACCGAATTCTTTCCATGCCATGAGAGACCTAAACGCTATTTTTTTTATTTGCAGAAAACTTGATATTTTGAAAGCATTATGGAGGTCTCGGGCTGACCACAGCCAGAAAAAATTTTGAAACTGGTGACAAATATTTCACGAGGCTGATGGAAATTTTGAAGGTTTCGCTTTCATTTTAATTTTTAGAATTAAACAATTTTGAGCATCCAGATACATGTCTTTTATAATTGTAAATATACTTTGGTAGATAGGAATTTGTAGAACAATTTTTTTCTTCAATTTCTCACTACCAGTGCTTTAATTTTTTATGCAGCTGTCCTATAACAATTGATTAGAACTTTTTTTAAAATTAAATTTAATTTTAATTTTTTTTCATCAAAGTTCCTCCATGACTTATTTGCTGCTGAAAAAAATTATTTCCTCGTAATTAATAGATGTTTAGAGGATTAAATTAATAAAAATTTTCTTATAAAAATTTGAATTATGAAATACATATTGAAAAAAAATCTACGCTATGACCTCATTTTAAGCTAAAAGTAGCAATTAATAGAATATTAAAATAATTGTTTTTAATGAGTAGGTACCACTTTACATTTTAAGTTATGACGCTTTACTTTTTATATTATTTCATTAATCTTATTTTAATAGGATTGGTAACTTAAAAATAAGATGTTGATGTATTTGGACGTAGCAATCATGTCATTCGGATAAATGAAAAAGGAGGTTAAAAAGTAAACCAGTTGCTGCAGTCTGGAAAAAATTGAATAGTGGTAGATACCGTTTCAGAAAACGGAATTATTTAATAAATTAATATCAAGCAACAATATTTTGCTAACTAAAATAAATACATATATACAATTGACCTTATCTATGATCCAAATGTTAAAAGGAAATTAAAATCTATAAAATAACAATCAATATCATGAAACCTTGATCACTTCTTTTTATTTTTTCCAGTCAGAACTCATAAATAAAGCTCCCAAAAGTCCACCAAAATTATTTAACTGGTAATAAGCTAAGCATTAAATCAATAGGTAATTTCAATAATTTTGTAACCGATTCAAATAAAATAATATTTTTATTCTATATGTATCAGATTTCTGTGTATGAAATAATTTCTAAATTATTATGGCAATCAATATAGTTTTATGAAGATTCTTTTAAAAACTTTAATAAAAAAGACTTTATTATTCAAGTTTTGCTATCACATAAATGTTTTAGCGGACCTTTAAGAGCTCTGCATTAAACGCTTACTGATTTCTAAGTTAGCTTACTCTGGACTTTATTTTTTAAAATGTTAGAAATAATGAATAAAGTAAAAAAATAATTATACAGAGAATAAATCTAAATAACCGAATAAATTTATAAAACTAAATAAATACAATTTTAATAACTGAAATTTTTAAATCATGTTACTGAATTTTACAAAAACTTTCCTATTGTAAATGTACTAGAGTTAGTTTGTTAGCGTCTGAAAAAAAAAATTACAGAAATATTAAATTTAAGGCGAAAAAAAAATATTAAGGTGGAAAACTGCATTTTTTTTTTTCATGTTTGTAGCAACTAGAATAATATATTACTCTAAATAAATGTATACGTAGATCCGAAGGCAATGGATTTGAATGTTTAATTCTAAATTGAAAGCTGAGTCTGAGGAATTTTCAGCTTTTTTATTACAAAATTGATACCACTATTTGAATTTTTACAGATGCTAAAACTTGTATAATGTTAAAAATAATTGGAACTGTAGTTTTACAAAGTTATAAATACGAAAGCCCACCAACATTGAAAAATATAAGTGCGTTAAAAGTTAATTAAAATTCAATCCAAACCCTTTTCTGTCGATGAAAGCTGTAAGCTTATCTTTTATCTTTCCCGTAATTAACGCAAACGATCTAATGCATTAGTGCAAGATAAACTAGAAAGCGAATATTGAGAAGAGGTTATAAACATGTATTTCGCGCGTGATTATTTTTTAAATAAATATAGAACAAGTTTAAAAGAAAAAAAGAATAACTCTTTCTTTCCGAACTCATAGCGACTTGGAATGCTTCAGAATATTTTCTCCTCTTGCCCAACAAAAAATTTTCTTATCCTTTTCCTTTCTATAGATTCCAATTTTTCAAGGTCATAACCTTCTTTGATAAATCTAAGTGGGAGGGAAGAAAAGAGGGAATAGGGGGTATTGGTTCCCTCAAGGTGAACTGATGTAAAAAGGTGTTATTAGTATCATCATCTTCGTATACCTGGGGTTGTTGTATATCGAAGCAGGGGAAATGATAAAAAAATGGGTTGTTTTTGATCAGTAATACGGGAACCAGTTTGATATTTTTTTTTTATCTAGTTTTTGTTTCTCATTATCGTTTTAAGAATATAAAAACTGTTATTTTTTCCAGCTTCTAGTGTTACCCCCAGCGTTATGATAGCGAAGGAACGAAAAAGCTGCTGATCGAAAAAGGAGGCATCGATATGTTTTTGTTTACATTGTTGATCGGTGGCTTAACATTGCTGATTTGGCTTTTATGGTCCTTTTGGCGACAGGAAAGAAGAAATCAATACCTTGACGCGAAAGAACGAGCGATTTTTATTAGTGGTTGTGATACTGGCATTGGTCATCGTTTGGCAATTTATTTCGCGGATTTAGGATGCAAAGTCTACGCCGGTTGTTTGGATCCCGAAAAAGCTAAGGGTTCGCTTCCAGATAGCGTCCACATCGTTCCTTTAGACATCACTAATGACGAAAGCGTGCGGAATGCAGTGGAATTAGTTACAGACTCTCTGAAGCAGAATGATCAAGGTAAGATAAATTATTACTTAGCTGCCAAAATTAGTATTTTTTGAAAGAAGTTTTTCGAAATTAAAATTGCATTAATAATTGTAAGACGAAATTTTTTTAAATTTCATAAGCACCTAAAAAATTCTTGAAATGAATAACAAAGATTTAAAATATTAAGTTAATTATTTACATGTAAAGGTAGTTAAAGTGATTTAAAATAAATTTTTTCGAAATCAAAAAGGAATTATTAAATTTAAAATAATAAATTAGAAAGTTCACCGTGAATAGCTATCTCTATAATTAAGTTTTACTTCAAACATTTAATATCCGGCAACTTTTTCTTTTTAAATTTCCTTTATGAACTTCATTTAAATGTAGTTTAAGATACGTATTTCTGTTTGGAATTATTGTGCTTCAATTATTGTTCATTTTGTAAGCAGTTCATCATAAGCTGAACAAAAGAATTTTGAGCTGAAACTTTATTTAATAATATCAGAAAGGTTTGATGACAGGGCTGGAAGTTGGATAGAAAAGTTAAAAAGTAAACAAAAAACTGGTAGATAGGCCATTTTATTTATAGCTATTTATCGAGAGGAGTAAAATGAGTTCGCACTATTGCTATCAGTATTTCTAACTATTTAATTTTATTCATGTTTTATATATTAAAATATTAAAAAAAACATTAAAAATGTTGTAACTAAAATTTTGTTAAAATCTGGTAGTCATTTACAGAGATGCCAACTGCTCTGGACATGCCAAAACAATTAAAAAATCGGTAAATAACTACAGATTAAATTTTGCTATTATTTGACTATTTTTGCATGACTTTTTCATACCTGCCAACTCTTCCAGTTTTTCCGGAAGATTTTTTTTTTTCATATTTAAAGTGCTAGCAAAATTCATGTTATTTCACTAAACCTTTTGTGTTACATTAATAATTATAAATAAGTTTGACCACCACTACATATAAATAATTACAAATATATAAAAAGCCTATTATCCTCACTATAGCGATTTTCAACCTGGTTAAAATATAAATATCTTTTTGAGTAAAACTGTTTTTTGGTAATTGTTTTACTACCACTTGGAAAATCCATTCTCGAAAAGAATAAATCTTGGCAAGTATGCTTTTTAAAGGTATAACAAGACATCAGTACTATAAAGTAGTGAATTATATAAGCCTACGAATTATTTAGAAATAGTGGTGGATAAAAATCCATTGAAATGAATTTATTAAAATTTATTATTATTATTTTATGAATTTATTAATGGCGCATCGCAATAGCTCTCCCAAGAGCATCCCAAGCATTTTCAATAGGATTCAGGTCAGGGGATTTGACTGGCCAATCCATTCGTTCCCTAAGTCACTATGGCTCGTAATAGTTAAATATTTTATAACCATCGTGGAACAGCCGACCCAATTTTCGGGTTTACGACTACTAATGTTCAACTCTGTAGCCTTGCAATTTTGAATCCAATTCAGAAGACAATGAAACTGTTGCATGAAGTATTGTGAGAAATTTGCCTTCGTGGAGGAATTTTCGATGGAACTAAATCGCATTTGCTTTACATGGTGAGGAAGACCACGAAAATCTCCCATGGTTAGCCTAACGGCAAGGGGACTATAACTCATGATCCGTCTACCACTGAAGACATTTTTCGTCAGCACTGTGGTCGTTGCAAGCCGGATGCGGAACTCGTATGGACCAGATATCGCTGGTATTCAAACCCGGTTTACCTCTTTAGAAGGGGAACGCTCTCTCTCCCGAGTCATCATGGCTCATAGTAATTAAATAGAAAATCTAGCAATTTAACTAAAATCTGATATGCACATATTCAGTACTTGATTTAATGGCAAAAGTTTAAAACTTTTCAAATCGCAAAACAAAGCAATGGTTGGCGAGTAAAAGTGAGATTAAAATAACCATACCAAAAATTTTACGTTTCTCCGGTGTTTTCTAAAAACAATTAATCGTAATATGTAGTGAAAGCTAAATCTGAGAGTACGGCATATTAGGAGAAGTCCGAAGACCATTCTAACGATAGTTTTCCAAAACAACGTCAAAATGCTAATGTTGAAAATACAAAAATTGTATGTCAATAACGAATTGAAAGTAAGTTGCCTTCCGCAATCGCATAATTCTTTTTTTTTTTTAACGGAAATTAATTTTTCTGCTGTTAAAGTGAAGAAAGCTATACAAAAAATGGTGAAATGGAAGAAATTTTTCTCAATATTGTTTTCGATGCAGTAAGGTCAGAAACGGAAATGATTTCACCTTATAATCTTAACATTTTATGGTTATGGAGCAAATATGTTCAGACAAGTTATTTTTCGTACCTAATCTCCCCTCCACTAAAAAAAAAGAAAAAAAAATTAAGAGGGAGAATTTAAGCTATTGTTCATATATGAAAGAGTTTAAATGAGGAATATCTATTGTCAATAGAACAAAAAAAAATTTGTTTAAATTTATACCGTAAATTTTTTCATATCTGTCAGCTATATCAAATATACGCTTCATATATATCTAGAAATAATAGTTTCCTGAAAAATTAATATTTTGAGTTAGTGAGGTTTCGTATGAATGTATTTTTTTTTCCTCATGCCTATTGTTCTTCTACCACAGATTTATGGGCTCTGATCAACAATGCTGGAGTTTGTATTTTTGGACTGTTTGAATGGCAGACATGGAAGCAATGCGAAACTCAAATCCAAGTTAATGTCTTGGGAACCATGCGCCTAACTAAAGCGTTCATACCTCTGTTGAGAAAAACAAAAGGTAAGCACATATTTTCATTAGTTTGAATGTAAAAGCAGGGAAAATTGGGTTTGTGGTTAATGAAAATTTCGTACTACTCATCTTTCTTTTTCTTTTTTTATTAACACGGTGTAACAAAACTAATAGTCACAACTGTAAGGAATGATGTGTTTGTACACGATGTAACAAAACTAATAGTCACAACTGTAAGGAATGATGTGTTTGTAAGTAGTATATAGTTGGGATGTTGTAACTCAGTCTGATCATTTCTGACTCAATATCGATCGATTCGTAATGTTAAACGCCATAGAGAATTGGTGCTCGACCGAAAGTTTGTTTGACCGGTGGCAACGGCCTGTTCGCTCGATATTCAGCTCTGGTGTGAGTATCGATCGGATTTTTCTATGGGAAATATTTTCTGACTCGGTCTGACAGTGTTTCAAGTTGTTCGTTTTTGTTTGATTTTGTCTGCTCTTGTTTTCTTGCGCTCTCACGCGCCCGTTGCCACGCTCGATATGAAATAAATACGAATCAGACTTTTCTATAACAAATATTGTCTGACTCAGTCTGATGCTGTTTCAATACATTCTTTTTTTAAAAAAAAGTCGGAAATAAACATTTGATAGAAATGAAAATATAAATAAAAACTTACCGTGCTTGTGCAGTGCAGATTATCCTTAATGGTGCGGGCAGGGTGCGGCAGTGCGAAGCGTGGCGGGTGCGGCGTGCCAAGCGTGGTGGGTGCGGGAAAATTAATGAATTTTCTTCACATACTCCTCAAACTCTCGCATGTTCTTTTGCATACATTTGTTGATCATGTTTAATAACACGAGTTTCGACACTATGAGAAATGAAACGGGATGTATCAAATAAAAATTCATTTTGTTAAAAAATGATTGCTCCATTTTCTTTTAGTATGTTTTACTTACTTCTTCTAGGTTGTCGAATTTTTGTATAATCGATAGGCGGTAGTTGCCTATACATAGCACGGCGGCATTCGAATAATATTTGCTGAATAATATAATCCTCCATTTCTTAAACTGACTGTTTCTTAAATCAAGAATTGTGTTTTAAGCCGAAAAGCATATAAACAGATGTTTTCTTTATTTATACCAAAGAA